TCTTTTCAGCTTCACTTCACACAGTAATTTTCCAAACTTTCCTCAACTGATTAGTGGCACCTCAAAGTTGATTTCTATCTGCTGCGGTCCATCTGGCACTAGCCATTAGTGCTTTCTAATACACCAAAAGTCATTCAGTGTTTGACTTTAATTAGTAAAGGAGTTTGGGTGTTGGGTTTTTTTTGCCTGGATGATTATTTTTTTTTTTTCCTAACTGACACTACAGCAAAAAATAACCTGCTCTTGAATGGATTACAGCCAAGAACTTGCAAAAATTTTGGCAGAGCTCAAAGACAAGGATTTTTGTGATGAAAACTTCTTGACATAATAAAAGAAATTGTTCTGCAGAGACCTTTGAAGTGACCCCAGAAAAAACAATGTGAACCTCCCATCTCCCTGGGAACAATGAGGAGGTCTGAGTTAATTGCCAGCATCTTTAATCTACATCTCCCTTGTGATTTTTCACTCTGGAGTTTTAGGTTGATTCTGATTAGCGTGACTAGAAGACCTGATTCTGTCCCCAGTTATGCTACTATAAATCAGATGAGCATCTTTGTTACAACTGATGAAATTATTGTGGCATGAGCAAACCAGGAGGATCAAAATCACAGGACAGAAGACATGAAAGGAAAAAGAATTTGATTGTCCACTCTCATCCTGCTGATGTTAGTACGGTGATTAGGGAGTGCCTGACAGGGGGTTGCATGAATGGTGTCCAAGGCAAAGATCAACAAAGTCAAAATCTGCCTTTACGTTCACCTGAGTGAGCTTTCTCTTAATCCTTGCAGTGATGGGAGAGAGGATCAGACACAAGACTCGGGGCTTTAGTACTCAGTCGTATAGGTATTAGTACTCAGTCGTATAGGTATTAGTGGGAGACATATGATAGGAGGCCTACAGGGAAGCTGGGAGGGGACTTTTTACAAGGGCCTGTAGTGACAGGACAAGGGGTAATGGGTTTAAATTGAAAGTGGGGAGGTTTAGATTGGATATCAGGAAGAAATTCTTCACGGAGAGGGTGGTGAGGCACTGGGGCAGGGTGCCCAGAGAAGCTGTGGATGTCCCATCCCTGGAAGTGTCCAAACCCAGGCTGGATGAGGCTTGGCGCAACCTGGTCTAGTGAAAGGTGTCCCTGCCCATTGCAGGGGGGGGGTTGGAACTAGATGATCTTTAAGGTCCCTTCCAACCCAAACCATTCTATGATTGGTCCCATCCCTGCCCATGCTGTGTAAAAGGTAAAGGGCTGAATGAGCAGACAAGGAGAATCAGACTAAGCATCATACAGGATCTCCCATGGCTTAGAGAACAGCTCAGAGTCTCAGTCCTTCAAAGGCAAAAATCATTTCCCCATGCTAAGGGGGCTGCATCTTCTTTCCTGCTGGGTCTGCAACATGTGATTACGGTTGGCAGCATCCTCCGGGGCAACCTTGCCAATCATCTTAATTGAATCTTTCAGCTATTTCCCTGCAGCTGCCAATTTTAGTGTGCCACGTATCTTGCACATCTTTTTCATCAGAGCAGAATTAGGAATCGTGTTTCTTGCCATCTTATCTCTGTTGATAAATAATTGTATGTTGCATTTATTGGAAGCTTTGAACCGGTACATTTGGAGATGCTGTTTAATATGTCTGTCTGTGAACAACCATGGCTTGAACAGAATTTAATTACTGACAATGGATTGCTGAGATTGGAAAGCACAAGAAAGGTGCTCTGGGTCTTTGGAAGACATCTGCAAAGGGCTTGGAGGGGCCAAATGCTGGAACTGCAGTCAACTGGATTAATCAGATTTGAAACTGAAGAGAGGAGGAAGTCATTTCTGCTTAGCGAAGTAGGTGATATTGCATTCAGGGTGCCCCAAGGGACGAACAGTAGGCAAAGCAACGCGGAAAAAATACATCTGTGTTCTTGGGAGAGTAGGGAGAGTCGCTATCTTTCCCTCTGCGTTCATCTGGTCTGAGAATAGATGTGTAGGATCAAACTGTACGCTTTAGCAGCGAACCTTGCACCGGTGCAGATGCCTTTGACTTGGTTCCAAAAATAAAAAGTTCAGTTCATGGTGTATAGACCAGCTGTTGGCAAATTCAGATGGTCTCGTTCCTACAGCCTTGCTAGGGGTATGCAATGAGATCTTGGAGTAGGTAAAAATGTACTCGTAAAGTCATTCAGAGCACTTTAAAGGACAGCATGAAAGAAATCCACAGCATGGCAAGAATCGGGCTGTAAAAATCATAGACGTTGATTCAGCCCGGACAGGTGTGTTGCCCTGTGTTTCTCCAGAGTTATTTGATTAAAAAAGGAAGACAGATTTCTGTGTGCACACTGTCTTACAGGATTGCTAGTACTCTCTAATCCTCAGCAGCTCAGGCATCCTTCCCATAGGTACTGCTGCATTTATACTGGGTGATGAGTCCACGAATGAATCCAGAAAGATGTCAAACAGGAGAACAAAAGCCCAGCAGTCTGTTTATCCCTCCTGTATCTCTTTGGTTTACAAGTGAGTAGTAAATAATGCAAATTCTAATTACATCTTAAATATTCTGAGAGCCGGATGAGCATTTTCATCCCTCCAGAGGAGAAATGTGGTGTGTTGATTGATTTTTGCTGAAAATGCTGTCTAGTATGCAAGAAGAATACCTCTATAAGCGTTGGTTGGCCCTCACTCTTGTCTCGGCAGCTGTTTCCCAGGTGGGGAGCTGGCAGCGCCTGCGGAAGTCCAACAGCAGCCCTGAGGTAACTCCTTTTGTAGAGAGGGCTCCGTGTTTAATTGTTTTAACACATTCGATTTGAGGATTGCCAGCCAAATGCCAATTCAGTGAGGAGGTGTATCCAACCCATATATTTGGAGTCCCTGGGCTCGTTTTTCATTCCCAAGCATAAATGGATGGAGCACTCGCTGCGCTAGCTGTGGCAGCCTGGCTCTGAAATGCCCATCCAAATCGAGGGAAAGAAAGGGAGGGGACTTTGAACAGCACAAAGGAGACGCTTTCTCAGGTAGTTGGCAGTGATTTGGTTTAGCCTTGCATCACCTCCCAACTTCATCTCTCCAGTTTCCCCATGAAGAGGCATCGAGTGCAGGAGATGATGGGCTGTTGTGTACAGCCCTCACAGGCAAGGAATGCGGCCGAAAAGAACTTTGCTCTCTATAAATGTTTCAGCTGTGTTAAAGGAAAGGCAGAAAAGGGCAGTTTGAGTTTGATTGCTTGTCCGTTTCACACCGCTGAACAGACTGATTACTGCCTGTGTCTGCCCAGACAGCTTAACCCGTTCTCAGGCTCCAGGGTGAACAACAGCACTTGCATCCACACACAAAAAAATGTGTCTGCTGAAAACTTTCTACCACAGATTGATCTCGGGGGTTCATGTTGACCAAAAGCATTCTTTTTGGTTTTGTTAAACCCATGCCACTGGAAGCATAGCATTGTTGTCTGATGCCTGTACATCACCAACGAACAGTGAGGATGTGCTGTGGAAGAACCTGTAATGCATGTAACGAGGAACAGAAGAGGTGGGTGCAGCTGGTGTAAACGCAGCCAGCACATCATCAGACTGATGGCTCAAAGTCTTCAGCAATGCTGACAGAGTAAAACAGCCGCAGAGACAACTTTTCCTGCTCCTCAGCAGATAATATGTGTTGGTTTTAGCATGGCGCTGTATTCACTGGCTGCTCCTCACTCAGCTGCGTGGTGGGTGTTAAGTTCCACGTGCTTCAGTGTGGGAAGTGGGTTTGAAAACTTGCTGGTAAGACATCACCACGTTTGACTTTAGGGTGAGAGGAATCAAGAGTAGGTAGTGTTTCTCTTCCAGCACCCGTGAGCTGATGCAAGGTGCTCTGACAGCCTCAGGGAAACTGTGAGTACTGATGGTTGCGTGTACAGCAATGCTCCCCCTCTTGCAGATGTCATATACCAAAGATCCATATCTAGGAGCTTGTTCCAGCTCCTTGAGTAAGAAACAGGGAGAAAAGTGGCAAGGATTCATGTCTGACTTCCCTGCAAGTGTTTTGCCCTGATGTTCCAGGTGTGACAAGAACACGGTTTTATTCTCTGCCTCAACAGCAAGTGTCTTCTGGATCAGCTTTTCTCTACATGCCACACAGAAAGTCCTCCACACCAATGAGGCTTGATCCTTTTCTTGTTCCCAGAAAGCTAATTCACACTTTTCTTCACTGCAAACATGGTTTAAATCAGAACGATGCCACTGAAATCGGAGACAGGCAGCAATTCTGGGTTTACTCTAGGACCACCACGGCTTACATTAGACGTAGCAAATAGAATACATCAGTGCAAGTAAATTCAGACAGGAGCTTTGGTTTTGCTGGAAAATGTGCTGGAATTTCAGCTCTAGGACTAGTAGCAAGATAGCACTAGAAGTTTGGTATGTTTTATCTAAATAAAAAGTGTAAATTACATGGCAGAATTCGCTTTGCTGTGCACACAGCCTGTGTGGTGTTAATTAAATCCTCGGCTTCTTTTATAGTGGAAGGAAGACTGAGAAAATGAGTATGAAATCAATTCTACATTTAATTAAAGTAACTCTCTTCTATTCAGATGCTTTTCCACTATGATATTGGTGATGCCAGTAAGAATCATGAAGAAATTGGTTTTACAGAAGCAAAATTTACTTTAAAACTTTGGGATTTTGTGGGTAGCATTACAAAACCCGGAGCCTAAGGTAAAAGCCCATATCTCTGCACCAAGAAGCTTTTGCTTTGTTTATAATCCCTCCTCAGAATTTCTTTGCGCTGGCTCAGAACCAGTGTTTCAGATGTTTTATTGTAATGTTTTATCATTTTAATCGTACCAGATTCTTGTAGAAACCTCAGGTCAGTCCTTTGGTCACACACTGTTGCTATCCTAAGCCAACTGGGAAACAAAGTGCAGCAGGTCTGGATGGATCCTGAGAGATGCTGTGATGAGTACCAGGCACTATCAGAAGATTGATGTTTACTCACTTTTTGGTTGCCTTTTGTTCTTACACTTTCTTTCTCTGTCTTCCTGTAGGTTATAACCCTGGAAGGATGGGTTGACATCATGTATTATGTGATGGATGCACATTCTTTTTACAATTTTATATATTTTATATTGCTTATAATAGTAAGTATGAACTGTGAGATGCTCCCATTCCTTCTCCTTCTGGGGTAAACTTATTCCCTGGGCTTTTCAGAGGGCCAGCTAGGATTCAGAGTGGGATACCTTCCTCTTGCCATAAAGCATAATCATGCAGGTTGTGATTAGTGCTGTGGGGACAGATTATTGGCTACAACAGTCTTTTTTAGTGTCACATGTGATGCATAGTCACAGCTTGTCAAGCCATATGGTCTTCCCTCCCTCTTACTCTCCCAGCCTTGGTCTTGTCACCTTGATGCGTCCTGACTGTTGTGCCTTGGCCAAGTGACTGCTAATCAGAATAAAAAGCAGAGAGTCAGTAGCTTCTCTTCCTTTAGCCTCTGCGATGTGCCAAAGGACACCTCATTTTGATGAAGGGCCCTCAGACTGTTCAACTTCACCCGAGACCTTTAAATAGCAGCAAGAATAGCAGTGCACCTTTCTGAGGAGGTCTTACGATGCTGTCATTCCTAAAAACAAAGTATTAGGTTTTTTGTTATTCCTCCAACAAAGTATTACTTGCTGGAGGTTGCGTTCAGAAGCTGCCATTCCTTGTGAGCTAGGGTTGGGTTTTTTTTACAATAGGCACAACCTTCTCCAGGGGTCTGCATCTGTGGAGAAGTTAAGCATTTAATTCAAGAGGAGAACAGAGGGAAAAGTACCAGGTAGATGTCAGGCAGGTTGTGGACGGAGGCACTGTGAGGTGTTTTTGTGGCTGGATATTTTTTATATATAACCCCATCCTCATCAATGTGGTTTTAAAGGTCTTGGGAAGTCAAACCATACCAGGTCCCACCACCAGTGGGAAAGGCATGGATCAGAGCAGTGTGAGTTTCCCAGTGATTGATAGCATTCTGAAGCCAGTAATTTTTGAGCCTTTAGCAATGGGCCATGCACAGTAGAGATTTACACTCCGCTCTTCTGAGCCCTTCTCTGCATGTGGATCCTTGCAGAAAAGCCAGAAGGTGACTAATCTCCAAGTCACTTGGCGTGGGGAATGGCACCCTTGCTGCTTCTCAAATGGTATCCAGACTGATAGTACAAACTGGAGAATAGCACTGCAAACCATCTCCCAGCGGCTTCGCCTGAGGATTCACCAGACAATGGTCCAGATTAAATCCATACGTTTCCTACTGAGCGGAGCACGGAGGTTTGGCCATGTAGACAGTGGCACTTCCTTGACGTCAGCCCCTTTCACACCTAAGGGCACTGATTCTCCTATGGGACTATTTGACATTTTCCTTTGGCAGATCTATGAACCCAAGTGGTGAAAAACCAGTTTGTGGACTCAACAGCTGAGGGAAGGATGTAGCCTTAGGTGACTTCACATTCCTGTCCTTGGGGCTTCATTTTGAAAACCTGCTATCACCCAAGAACACATCAACTCAACCAGACAATGAATCAGGGCTTTCTAGGAGCACTGAATCTCCTTATACAAGAGTGTAAGATGCACAGATGCATTCAGGGCATACTATATAGGCCAGGGTGTGAAGTGATAAAATAAGGTCACAGATGCATGGAACCTGACTGTCCACCTCAAAATCGGGGCATACTCTATAGGCCAGGGTGTGAAGTGATAAAGGAAGAGAAAAGGCAGTTTCAGTACAGCACAAATTGGATTTCAGACCATCTTTCCTTGCAGGTTGGCCGGGTGTTTCCTAGTGATCTGCTTTGTGGTAGTAACTGATTGCGCTGTGTTTCATACACCCGGGATTAGTAGCAAATGTCATCACTGTTGAGGGGAGGAAAGTGGTGAAGGCTATTGTTAACAGCTTTCTTTGTCATTGCCAAAATAATGTAACATGACTTAGGAGCAAATTTAGCAGCTCAGGCACATGTTGACATAACATTTGGTGAGCAGACACTAAGATTTGGCATGTTTGGAAATCTCTGGATTTCTAAGAACCACACTACAAGTCCAGACAGCATGTGGTGGTGAAGAATGTGTCTTGTTTTGTGAAGTCCCTGCTAATTCCTTTCCCTTTGACTTCTGCAGGTTGGTTCCTTCTTCATGATTAACTTGTGCCTGGTTGTGATAGCAACACAGTTTTCTGAAACAAAGCAGCGGGAGAACCAGCTGATGCAGGAGCAGCGGGCCCGTTATCTCTCCAATGACAGCACAATTGCCAGCTTCTCAGAGCCAGGTAGCTGCTACGAGGAGCTGCTCAAGTACATCTGCCACATCTTCAGGAAGGTGAAACGGCGGACAATACGCCTGTACAATAACTGGCAGAGTAAACGCCGGAAAAAAGTTAACCCAAACAGCACCACAAATGGGCAAAGCCACCGAGGCAAAAAGCGCATCACCTCCATACACCACCTCATCCACCATCACCATCACCACCACCACCACCACTATCACATTAGCAATGGGAGCCCTCGAGGACCATGCTCCAACCCTGAGATCTGCGACCTGGAACTCAAGGTCATGAAACCCGGAGACCAATTGATGCTTCCTTCTCCATCACCCAACTTGCAGAGCCCTGCTCCTCCTCCAGACTCGGAGTCTGTGCACAGCATTTACCACACAGACTGTCACGTCGAAGGACCACAAGTGAACTGTAAGTCTTCCAATGCCCCTGCGAGCATTAAACTGACTGCCAGCCTCTCCAACCATGGCAACATGAACTATCCTACCATCCTGCCTTCTCCAACTAGCAAAGCCAGTTCTGTTCCGGTTCCCAAAGGAAAGAAGAATGGCAGTTCACCTGTGGCTGTGGTTAACAGCCCTGTAAATTTGGGCACAGATTCTTATGGGAAGCTACAGCAGCTGGTAGGAGAGCATGGTAAGGACAAACCAGATGATTTTTTTTTTTTTTGCTTAGGAAAACTGGGCAAAGGGCAAATCGCTCAAGAGTTAAGGTGTTAGTAGCATTCGTGTAGGATGGAGGCTGTTTTGTGAATGCTGTATGAACTGAGCGGTGAAGCCAGAATTAGGACAGGTCGAGGGACTGAGCTCTGTTCCTTCTACCCGTGTGTTTGCAGTCATCAGGTAACGTGAGATATAGGATGGTCCGGGCAGTGAGTTCAGGCCACTGCTGGAGATCTCCTTCCCATCGTTACAAAGCATGTGTTTCTGAGCTCCTCTCATGTGCTTAGTGATATCCTGGAGGTTCTCCCTCTCTTCCCACCCAAGAACAGATCTATGCAGCCCTTGGAATTACATCTGTGGTGAATGACGGACCTGCCGGCTGCAGCCCTGCAGCAGAGAAGCCCCGGCTGCTGGGAGATGGTACCTGGAAAGGGAAGAGCAGGTGGAAGCTGGTGGAGAAGCATAAGGTATAGGAAACATAACAAGTTTAAAACAGGGAGGCACTAAAAGAACTGAAACCAGACACTTCTAGAAACCTCTAGTTCTGCTCTGATGGGTCCCTGAGCCTCTGAATTTCTTTTTGGGAGGAAGGAGCAGAAGGTTTGGATGAAGGCCCGTGGTCACTGCAGGGTCTTGCTCTGTGCTGGTCCTCAGAGGATGTGTGTGAGGGCAGGAGCACTGCAGAGCTACAGGTCTCAGACTTTCCCTCTCGTCTTTCCCCATGTGCAGAAGAAATGTAGGACTGAGCGTTACTGCAGATCTAGAGCTCCATTCAATCTGAATGAACGAGGAGCATCTTGGGGGCTGTTTTGTACCTGTCCCATCCCTATCGGTACAGACTGCAGCCACACCAGCGCTGCTGGTTAGTGTAGCTTGATCTCCTTACACATATAAATCACCCACTGGTGTAGTGATTACACGCAACACTCAGGTTTCTGTTTTGCATACTGTTTCCAGTCTTCATGGCTGGAGCTAAAGGCTGAAAAACAGTCTCTTAAGTCCTCAAACAGTAAAAAGTCAGAAAGATCTAGCTGCTTTTTTTTAATCTCTTTAAGCCAAACTCGTCATCTGTTTTTTTCAATGCCTGTGTTTTCCAAAACTGTTTATCTGCGTGTGCATGGACACAAATATTTATCCTAGTGATGTATGTGCTGAAAAAATACCAAGCCTAGCTTGGGGAGGGGTCACAGTAAAGGTTGCTTGCCACATAGGTTGGGTGACTTGTCTTTGTTATTTTTTTTTTCAAGTGACCATACAAAAGGGTAAAGTGGATTGTTTGTAGAAATTGCCTTGGGCAGACATTTCTGTACGCTTGGGAGCTTAGCAGGAGGGCAGAAGGGGGCAAGGTTAGTTGCAACGTTCTTCCGTTGTTAAGCAAGGCCTTTATATGAGTCACTGGTTCATCTTTAACTGTGCAAGTTAATGAAGGTTATTATGAGAATGTGTATTTACCTTGAGATAAAAGCCCAGGTTCTGCCGAATTCTGGAACTGGGAAAGCAAGGATGAGCAGAAGAGCTGTTGCTTGGAAGTCAGTGCTCAAGTCTGACTTGAAGTTTGGTTCTTCATGCTTGCAAGGGGATCTGCTGCTGGGGTCCTCTTCAGAAGAAAGCCCCAGATCTCAGTCCCAACTGTGATATCCCAGGACCTCTTCAATGACTTAGGAGATTTTCACATAGCCTGTGGTGGTTCTTTGGAAGCCAGATGTTAGATGGAGTTGCTATTAATAATGCAATTATAGTATCCTCTTTTTACAGAGGCATTTCAGCCCTGAGGATGCCAAAATGTTTTAAACAAATCTCCTGGAATTGTTGTGTCTCTTTCAGAAGTGCGGTCGTATCTAGGGGAAAGGGTGGATGCTGCAGCTCTTGGCTGGTGAGCAGCAGCTTATCTGGCACCCTGAGGAGCACAGGGGCTGGGATGGGAAGCAAGTCAGCTGGGTCCACCTGGAGACCCTGTCACACAGTGTGTCGGTGCCCAGCTCTTCCCCTCCCCGGCTGTGGCTCTTTCCAGGCCCTCTTTCCTGCTCCTGCCCTCCTGCCACACCAACAGGGCTGAGTCACATTCACTGCTGCACCAAAACCGTCTTTGTAGAGCAGGGATGATGGATGTGTCTTCCAGGCTTCAGGAGGATCTTTTAAGTGTCAAATAAGCCAATTCCTGAGGGTGTAGCTGTGCCAGGCACAGCTCCCAAGACGTGTTTCTCCATCCCAGCCTAAGCTTAGCAAAGGAGCCATGGTAAGTCCCTACCCCGTGCTCGTCGAGGTCTCCTGGCCTCAGCCTCTTTGGGCAAACAAAGAGCTATTTCACTTAATTCTCTCTCTGCTCTTACAAGGCAACAAGCAGAGTCTGTTCAGTGCAAGACTTGTGGAAGGAGAGCACACAAGTGATAATTGAGAGCATTAAGGAGGCATTAGCAGCCAGGGCACTCACAGTCCCAGCTGGAAACAAGGTTGGTGTCTGCTGGGAAAGATGCAATTGTGGGAGAGAGTATTCTCTTCCCTTCTTTTGTTGTGGAATTGAACAGCATAAAGTACAGCCTGTTCCTCCGTGTTCTTGTGCCCTGCAATGCTGTGAGGTTATTTTAGCAGGCAGCCAAGGAGACTCTGGTATTTTGAAGACATCTGTGGCGCCAGTGTTTTTCATATAATTTTTAACACTTTGATAGCATTAAAAGATGTCTGGCGAGTCCACTACCTCTGCTATCTGCACTGCTGTGGCTGTGCTGCAGTCGTTCCTCAGCAGCAACGCCGTGATGATGTGCAGCGCTGCACCGGTGCTGCTTGCAGATTGAGTAAGGGGGCAAATATTTCTGTTGCTCCTGGTGTCTTTGACGTGATGACCAGGCAGAGGACAGTCCTCTCCTGCAAGGCTGTTTTGAAGGCCAGTGATACCTGAGTGACATTGTGTCAAGTAAATGTATTTTGACTCTTTTCACAACCCAGTTTTCAAGCTAATGGGGTGCTTTTATTTTGTTTGGTGCTGCCTTCTCTTTAAAGACGTCCTCAAGCATCAGCCAGGAGTGGCTGAAATCAGCAGCTGGGTGAGCTCCAAGCTCCTGGGCCCAGAGCCAGGAGCATCCACTGCCTTCTGCTTGGTCTCCCCAAAACCCATCCAAGTGTCCCCATCCAACCTCCAGACAGGGGCATGTTACAGGGGGAAACTGTCCCCTCACCATGTTTCCCTGAATCTCAAGGAAAGCGTTCATTGATGCTTGAATGGCGTTTTGTAGGATGGATACCATGCTCGCAGTATTGCATTCATGGTGGGAAGGGTTCTGCCATTAATATCTGGTTCCTAAAGATGATGAAACTAGGAATTTGGTTCCTAAATACGAGGAAATAAAATCTGGTGCTCGTTCCATCCAAATCACCCTTGTTATGCTTGTCCATATCATCTCCGTAGCCCGGCTCTGTGAGGGCAGTCAGCATTTCTCCTCACACCACAAAACATGTGGCAATGTGTTTGATTTTTAAAACACCAAGTCCTGTGCCTCGAGCAAAGAATTCACCTGAGCTTTATTAAAGGCTGAAGGAGGGATGAAGGAGACTGAAGGGACTACATGACTCTCCAAGCTGTGATCCATGGTCTGTAGCCACCTTTGGTCCGTTTCTTTCTCTTCCCTCCTCATTATTAGCTAAATGGAAGCGCTATCTAAATTGGGTGTAACAGCTTGATAGTGCTCAGATCATTGCTAATGATGTTAGCCTGGTCAGATATAATCAAAAATAATTGAAAGTGAGAGGTGTGCCAGTCAGTCTTCCCCCAGCAGCAGAACACAAAATGGCTTCCACGCTCTGTGGAAAAGAGACCCCTTGGCCCCGTGTCCTTGGGAGGAGCTAGAGGGTGGGTGTTGGGGCCTGCCTGGGGAGAGGGGAACAGAGGGAAAAATGAAACAAAGCAAGAGTAAGATGGATGGCTAGAAGGCTGTATTAGGGTATTGCATTTATTTGAGGATGTGGCAGAAGCTGCTGTGCCCTGGACAGGCCCAGCGCCACCCGAGTGGGGATGCGGGGCTCTCCGCCATGTTGGGGGTGTGAGGTGGCTCACGGCACGTGTCTCCCCTTGCAGGTCTGCGGCGGACACCCAGCCGGCTGTCGGGGCTGAGCGCGGCCTGCCCGCTGCCCAGCCCACCGGGTGGCACGCTGACCTGCGAGCTGCAGGACTGTCCCTTCTGTGCCAGCCTCCTGGACGACCCCGACTTCGCCTTCAGTGAGTCTGACAGCTGCGACTCTGACAGCAACGGCGTCTACGAGTTCACCCAGGACCTGCGGCACGGCGACCACAGAGACCAGCTCCAGCAGCAGCGGGGCAGGAGGAGGAGGAAGAAGAAAAAGCCCAAGGAAAGGAACAAGGTCACACGCCTGTGGAAGGCGTTCGGCAGCAAGCTGAAGAGGATCGTGGAGAGCAAATACTTCAACCGGGGGATTATGATCGCCATTCTCATCAACACGCTGAGCATGGGCATCGAGTACCACGAGCAGGTGAGTGCGGGACTGGCCTGAAGAGGCCTGAGGGGCTGTGGTTTTTGGTGCTCGCGGCATGGCAGCTTGCGTGGTGGTTTGGGGTGACTGTCGAAGCCATGCCGGCGGAGGAGCAGGCAGTTTTCACGCAAGGTGGGAACATGATATGGGGCTGAGGGCCTGATCCTGCAGACGTGTGATGAGCAGGAGCATCCTTCTGTGTGTGAAAAGCCTTGGAAGGTGGCTGACAGCACTGCTGAGGTGTGGAGAGTTTAAATGTGTGTGTTAGGACACAGCGGCTCCGATCCTGACTGCTTAAGTTTTTTGCTGTGAATTATCCATATAAGGGTGAATTGTTCAGGTGGAGATCCCCCTTGGGCCTGATGGTGGTGGTGCACAGTGGATCTTGTAGTGCAAATAACCCACGCAGAAGTTTCTCCTTTGATCCTGGATCTTTAAAAAAAGACTAAAAGTGTCGGACAGTGCTAAAAGCAACAAAGAAGAAAGTTAGTTTCTTCCCTGAAGTCTCCAAAACCTTTAATTTGATCTCATAAGGTGCAAGTAGGTCTTTTGGGGTGTTTTTTAAGTGCCTGGAGGGAGGAAAGAGAAATCATGCTGTTCCCAGTATTAGTGTCAACACGGTGATGGCAGAAAGCAGTGCTGGCAGCTGAGGACAGCTTGTCCTTGTTGGCTGATGGGACCTTGAGGGGCTGTGCAATGGGAGAGGGACGTGGGTATCTCCAGTTGGTCACTGGGGAAAACTATGCTTTTCTGGTCTTTCCTTTCTTGGAAAAACTGGTTACTTTCAACTGTTTTCTCAAGACTTGCTGTGGAATTTCTCACGCCACCTCTGTATCAGGTGCAGAAAATGCTTGCCTGCGAGGCCAGGAGATCTTCATGTATATTTGCTGTGCGGGCAATGGTCAAAGATTCATCCAGTGCTCCCCCAAAATCTCCCCTGCAGGATCAGGACTAGGTCAAGGTTATTTATAAAGCTATTTCTTCTCTCTGCCTCAGTCTGTCTGCTCAGGAGTGAGGAGAAAAGGCAGACAGAGCAGCAAAGTACATCCAAAGGCAGGACAAACAGGACAAAAAGATCTGCATTTTCTTCTCCATCATTTCCCAGGACTCAGTCCTGCTCAGGTCCATGGCAAACAGTCCTCCAAAGTGCTGCTGCTGCTTTATTTTCTCTCCACTTACGTGCTTTAAACCCTCATATTCTATGCTATCTGAGGCATATTTTCTTTCAGAAAAGCAGGCACGCAGGTAAAGCACATGAACCTCAGCCGTGCAACAATAAATTAGTTCTCACTTACAGCAGGAAGCGTCCAAACCCAACAAAGAAATAGCTGTCACTGTCAGCTTTCTGTCTGGTTAGTTGTTCCACAAGTTTTAAAATCAGGAAATCCACCTTGTCAGTCGCCTTTGAATAGACCATTCGTTCCTCGTGGCGGCTGCATTTCTGCATGGATACTCTCTTGTCAGGCAGATACAGCTTTGTCAGTCCTTGGATATTACCATGACGGGTGCTGGGGGAAAACCTTAGGCAGGCTGCAGTGAGAAAGCCCAGGGATCGCATGGAGCCTGTCCACAATCACTCCTATAAAGGTAAATTGTGATAATTACATCCTTGCTGCTAACAAAGGAAAACTGTAGCTGGCAGGTTTATATTGGATTTTACCTTGTAAAAGATTTGCTTTAAACCATCTCAAAGCCAATGGCAATAAAGATTCTGAAGCTTTTGGCTACGGAGCATCAGAATCCTGCCAGCTTTGCTCGCAGGCACTGCCCAGTGTGGGCCCAATAAAAAGGGAGGAATTTTGAAGTGAAACCTGTAAAAGTTCCTCCACGTGCCTGACTGCAAAGTGTCTCTGGTACACGGTGGGGATAACAAGCTGTGGAGCTGTCAGAGCCCAGCTTCAACACCCCTCGCCCATGCACTTTCCTATCAACAAGGTGACCTCCAGGGCATTGCCGGAGGCTGAGACTTTGGCAAAAGCAATAGCAAATGGCTCTAGGGTCCCAGATTGTTTGGCATGAAAGTCTGGGGTTTCTGTGAGCAAAGCAGGGTGATTTCAGAACCCGCAGCCCTCTTCGTGTGAGAGCTGGCTGCAAGACTTGGGGTGGGGGGCTGGCCTTGTATGGAGATAAGGAGATGCCTGAGTGAAGCTGTCACAAACCCACAGCGTGGTGTTGAGATGGAGTAGAGGTGAGAATGGCTCGTTTTGAGTACACCATGATCCTTGCCAGGAAAAACAGTTTAATCACAGCTTTCTGGTTACTGAGTGACAGATGCTGCACCTCTGCTCAGAGCAGGCATTGCAAGGCGAGAAGGTGTGAGCCTTCCCCAGGCTGTTAACCAGGGGTGGGGGCTGCCATAGTCTCCTCCTCCATCCTCCCAAAGGCAACCCTGGATGCCATTCCTCTATCATAAGAATTTAGGAGCTGCCTACAAGGATAGCTACTCTGTGGCTCTCCTCTGCTTTCCTTGTCCCCACCACGAGCTGTTTGGTGTTACCCAGAGAGCAGGATTCAGGGACTCCCATTGTGCTCTGTGCCTGCTGACAGCAGCATGGGCAGGGGGCTGCTAGGCTCTGAGCCCTGCAAAGCATCACCTACCGTGGAGACATTCGCTCTGGGTGGAACAGCTTAAGCAGGTTCTCTAGTCTCAACTCTTGCCACTTGTTTTCAGCCATTGACTGGTTTTATCAAACTGGGCTGCAATCAGTGCAGCAGCCACAGGGAAGCCCTCCCCAAACCTCACTGTCTGTAAGGAAATGCCCGATCCCTTTTATAAAAAATTATTATAGGCTGCTTGCCTTTCTTTTCCGCCTTCTCAGACTTCCCAGCCATCAGTGGCTTTGCAAGTAGATGGGCATGCCATATACATTTTTATTTCAGAGTGCTCTTCAAAGCCAAGGCATCAATCCTGTGCGTGTGTGGGAGGGGTGGAGAGTACTGAACAACATATGGCGTGGAAGATAGAGCAGCACTAGTCCTTGGTGCCTTATCTCGCCTTTCATCCCGGGACATGGCAGTGCTGTGCTGAGAAGTCTCACGGAGCCCTCTTGAGGCAAGCCAGCATTATTGTCCATATCTTCTGGATGAGGAAATCGGGGTTGCAAGGTGCTAGGCTGGAGGCAGAACCCTGGTGCTGGGTCTTCTCCTAGCTGCAGGGCAAGGGGGCATGTGTGCCATGGCAGGGCTTTGGTAGCAGCCTTTGACAGGGCAGGAACATGATCTGTGTCTGTACTGCTGCAGGCCTGGATGCTACCTCCAGATGAACAAGAGAGACGTGTCTCTATCCAAATCCTCTCAAAAGCTTCAATAGGTGTTTTTATGGGAATCTGAATCCAACAGCACTCTGTTCTCATGGTTACTCTGGCTGCTCTTGGCTAACATAGCTGGCACCACCTCATTTCATGCACACAGCCCACGTAATACCCTTTTAGGCAAGGATCCTGTCCTGTGGCTGAGGGCATGACCACTGTAGCAGTTAGCTGACTCATGAGGAAGATGAGGAGATGCCAGAGCTGCTTTGCACAGGGCTGTCCTTTAGCAGACCTCCTCTACTCAGCGGCAGATTGAAGATTTCATGGCAGCACAGCCGGTTTGTGGCAGGAGATCCGGGGAGCAGGAGGCAGCTGATGATGGGAAGCGAGTTTCTTTAGACTTCAGTCATTAGTAGCAATCGGATCCTCCTGCACAGCATATCTGTCGGGTTAACAGCCAGCTCTGTCTCCAACTGCCACGTTGTACATGGCTGGTAATTAGAAGGTTACGGGATGCTATGAGTTAGCAGCAGCACAACTTGTATTCCAAAGGTTAATTGGCTGGTTTGGAGTTCCATTTTTTCCCCTTTCCTCTCATTATTTATTTATTTGTCTGTCTTCAGCACAAATAAGCGCTCCCACAGACGAGGAAATTAAAGTACAAAAATAAGGCAATCCTTGCATTAATCTTCCAGGCCAATTTCATACATTGGATGATCCTGTTCTTCATTCATTGCAGCTGACAATTCTCGAGAGTATCTGAGAACGTGCCATGGCACTGCAGCAACTGAGCAGGAACCGTGCACTCCAAAAGCATGACCTCTGCCATGCCCTCAGGGCAGTGGGGAGAAGTGCCTGGCACAGGCAGGCCCTGTTCCAGGAGCTGTGTTTCCAAGTGCCTCTCACCTACTGAAAGCAGAGATACCTTTTTGTCCCAGAATAAGCTCCTGTGTGTGCTTCACTGACTTGGTCTGAAGAAATAATGCTGCTTGTTCAATCTGCCTCAGTTCCCAGCTCCCTACTTGTTCAGTAGAAGGACAGAGTCCTGTTTATTTGTCCAGGAGAGATGCTGATGTTATCCCTGCAGAAGGATGAGCTCTGGATTCATCCCTGAGGACCTCTGGTTTAAATGAGGAGAGACCCCCCACTCAGCTTCCCAGAGGAATTTGCAGAAGTAGCTGTTGATACTTGTAATGACTCCGCATAAAAAGCTCAATTTACATCAAATGGCACTAGAAATGCTATTTTATATTCACTTCTCAGAAGAGAAATACAAATTAGTGTTTGTTCCAAGCTATTGCTGTTCAAAGAGCTTTTAATTGCTTTTCTGATCCCTCATCCACAGCATGTTTCGTTCAGAGCAGCTGTCTTTGGACTAGGTTGGAGCTGACCTTGGTGGGTACGCAGTGGTCCGTTGCTTATCGGTGTGAGAGAAGGTTTTGAGTAGCATATTTTATTATTCTGGGGTAAAAGTAATTCTGTGTGATTTAAGGTGGCAACTAGCTTCTGTAGCAGCGTTCTGTTTTAGCATTTGTCAGTTTGGGCTTGAAAAATTGGTTTGGCCTGGAAAACTCAGCACTTACTCAGAAAGTAGAGGAGAATCTTTCAGCAGTGTTTGAAACAAATTGCTTAAATTCCTTTTGAGTTGTGAGTCAATAAAATATTATCCTGGTCTGAGATTCTCACCTTCAGCTAGCAAAATCTGTTCACTCTTCAAACTTTCTGCATGATCCAATTTTAAGAATTCAC